TGGGTGTTGCCTTCTGACACACTTTGTTTTATTTATTTATTTACATGTGACTTCTATACTGCTCATGACCCCTACTGGGTCTCAGAGCGGTTTACAAGTGGCCTACATTATTGTAGTCAGATCCTACCTAGGGTGACAATTGTGCAGGGAGGGGTTGCCTAGCAGCACCCGGACGACAGGCTTCTCTCCGTACTCGGTGGCTCCGGCGTAGTCTCGGCATTTCCGGCGAGCGGCAACCATCAGCGGGCTGCAGATGGACCTTCCGTTGATGCGCACTGCTCCTGGACTGCGGCGTTCCCGGCTACTCGTCCCTTCGGGCTCCAGCCGCGCCGCATCGCTCCGTAGTTGCGTCATCCGGTCCCTCCTCGATCCGATGTCGTTGTCGCTCCTTCGGTCTGCCAGACGCCGCCATTGTTCCTCCTCGCCGCTGCTGCTTCTCTTACTGCCATCGTCGCCATCAACCCTCCTGGCACGGAACCAGGAGGAGGGTGCCCCCCGCCTCTAAGGCAGGTACCCATTTCTCTACTTGCAATTACTTTCGAGCCGCTGGGTTGACGGGAGCTGGGACTGGGGCCGGTAGCTCACTCCGGCCGCGGTGGGGATTCGAACAGCCATTATGGCTATTCGCTATAGATGTTACTGCAGGTGCTGTTATTCCCTGCGCCACCGCTCCCGGTGATGTCAGGGGGTGATGTCAGGGGGTGTGGCATATGCAAATAAGTTATGCTAATATGTTATGCTAATGAGCCCCTGCACCTCTTGTTCTACGAAATTTTATTTATTTTTATTTATTTATTCAGGTATTTCTACCCCGCCCTACCCCGCGAGCGGGCTCAGGGTGGCTTACAAAGGCATAAGCCCATACATAAAATTTATAAAATCCGATAACATCACAAATCACAACCAACATACTATTAATAATAATAAAGTGCTTTAAATTTCAAGATGGTCTGCAGTTGGCACCTGCAGGGAATTGCCCCTGCAGACTTTAATCATGATGAAATCATCCTGGTAATATTAGTCCAAGCTAAACGGCTGGTCTTGCTGTCATATAGATGGCGCCGGGCTATCAAGGGCACTCCAACTTGATGGTCTTTCCCTCGTTGGTGATGGTGGAAGCGGCGGCCCCTACATGAAAGCCTGGTGGAAGAGCTCCGTCTTGCAGGCCCTGCGGAATTGCAAAAGATCCCGCAGGGCCCTGATCTCCTCCGGGAGCTCATTCCACCAGGTAGGGGCCGCCACTGAGAAGGATCTTGCCCTTGTCGCGGCATAGCGTATCTCTCGGGGGCCCGGAACCACTAAGCGACTCTGGGTCCCCGACCGAAGTGCTCTTGGGGGTGTATACGGGGAAAGGCGGTCCCTTAGGTAGGTCGGACCCCTGTTCACATGAATTCATGAATCCGCCTTCTACTGAATCAACCCTTTGGTCCATCGAAGCCAGTATTGTCTACTCAGACTGGCAGCAGTTCTCCAGGGTCTCAGGCGGAGGGCCTTCACATCACCCACAGCCTGGTCCTTTTTAACTGGAGATGCCGCCGGGGATTGAACCTGGGGCCTTCTGCATGGCAGGCAGAGGCTCTCCCGCTGAGCCACGGCCCCTCCCCACTGTCACTTGCATATCCTGCATGTGTGTTCATATTAATGTGTGTGCAGCTTCGTGTGTGTTCACGTGAAAAATACTCCGGTGACAACAGCAACAGTGGTTGGAGGCAAAGAAACCCAGCTTTTGCACGGGATTCAATTCAAGCCGCTACCAACTCTGTTAAATGCTGGGTTCTGGATGCATTGCAGTGATCAGCTCTAGTTTATTTAGTGATTTCAGAACTAAATCCCAGGGCTTGCTGCCCTGTTCATAAAGCATGCAAACACCACACCCTAACACACCCCACTCCCAACGAGAGGCTATTTACATTACTCTACTATACTATTGGTCAACTTCAGGATCCTGGTCAGCTATTGTTCCAAGGGAACGAGCTCAACCAGTTCCAGGTTCGGTTCAGGCTCAATACATAACAAACTCCTGAAAGGCAAAGCACCTGCGATGTTCCACTCTGACCACACTTGCTCTTCGGAGCAAAGCATCCCCAAAAGTGCAAAATCCTGCAAACAGATGGAAGGTCCGCAGCTGCCCCTGGATGTAGACTGTCCAAAGTTTCCAGTCGGAACGGTCCCCTCGTGCCGCTTCCTTGGCTATGGCTGTGCAGCCTATCTGTGCATGGGAGGGCGCGCTCACACGCCTCCGCACCCACGAGCCCATCTCCCCCCCCCAATCCGTTGCTGTTTCTCTCTGGCAGAAGCGCCGCGCCTTCCCTCTTGGCATGATGGAGCGCCTCCCGGGAGAGCACAGATAACGTACAAGGCTGGGTCAGGCGAGGCCTGTGTAAGCCATCCATCAGCCTCCACCAGCCTTCCCTTTGCCACCATCTGATGCGCCGTTATCCGGCACAAATGTGTTTCTTCCTCCAAGGTTAAATGGATGAGTGAGGTTTAGGCGATGACAGCTCGGCTTCCCGGCTGCGACAATAAATGACGCTCCCCGGGGAGGGGGAGAAATGGTCCTTTGCTGCTGCGGCCGCAGAGCTGCCTGGTGCACTGGGCCTGGTTGTGCGGAGGGGACATGCAGTTACACTGAACCCCCGCCCCCCGTAACGCTTAGGGGCTTCAACGCAAAGCAGGAGGTTGCGAGTGCAGAGAGACCAGGAGTGTGCAAGAGGATGGTGACCATGGCCTGTCCCTGCCCATCTGCCCAGAAGGAAATCTGGGCCCCAGGCAGCTAGGGCTGCCAACCTCCAGGTGGGACTGGGAGACCCCCCAGAATTACGACTGATTTCCAGATGTCAGAGACCAGGTCCCCTGGAGGAAATGGCTGCTTGGAAGGGCGGGCTCTATGGCACTGCGGCCCACTGAGGTGCCCCCCAACGCCTCATCCTACCCAGGTTCCTCTCTCCCAAATCTCCAGCAATTTCCCAAACCCAGAGTTGGCAACGCCACGTGCAGCACTGCCAGTTCTTCTCCTGGCAGAGGCCCTGCCTGCGTTTAGCAGTGAACTTCCTTCCCCATCACGAGGCTGCCAATCTCCAGGTGGGGCCTGGAGATCTCCCAAAAGTTACAACTGGTCTCCAGACTACGTCATTTCTGGCTGCTCGACTGGAAGTGACACATCACAGGACGCTCTAGGAATCCTTGAAACTCTACGGTTTTCACCCTAGAGTTTTGGGGAGGTCATAGAGCATCTCATGGGCGCAGTAGTATCACTTCCGGTGATGTGGTCAGAAATGAAATCATGGTGTCATGGGGCACAGTTCCAGCGAGTCCCTCCC